CTGGGGGGGGAGCCTGTGGCCTGGGGATTTAGTCTAAAAATGGTAGGGGCACATGCTTTCACCTAAATCAGAAACAAGGCCTGTTGTCTGAACCTAGGTCCAGGGCCGAATTAACACATAGGCAAACCGAGCACATGTCTAGGGCTCTGTGCTGTGGGGGTGGTCCAATCCTTCCCTCTGTGGCAGCAGCAAAAATGGCCCTGTCCACCTTAATCCCGGAGAGAGCTGTGGGATGTGGTGTACTTTGACTTCAGCAAGGCTTTTGATACAGTCTCCCATAACATTCGTGCAAACAAGCTAAGGAAGTATGCGTTGGATATTTGTGGACTCTAAGTTTAATACAAACCTGGCTGGATCAACAGGTTCAATGGGTAGTGATCAATGACTCAATGTCTAGCTGGCAGTTGCTAACAAATCAAGGGCCTTAGAAGTTGGTCCTGGGGCCAGATCTGTTAAGCATCTTCATTAACAAATCTCAAAGTTGGGATGGATTGCACACTAAGCAAGTTCACGGATGACACCAACCTGAAGGGTGTAATACATATGTAGGAGGATACTGCAAGGATTCAGAGAAACATATACAAATTGGAGGATTGGGCCAAAAGAAATCTCATGAGGTTCAATAAGGACAAGTGCAAAGTCTTGCACTTAGGATAGAAAAATCCCATGCACCGGTACAGGCTTGGGACCAACTGGCTGCTCAGTAGCTCTACAGAAAAGGACCTCAGAGTTATGGTGGACAGTTCTCATATTATAAAAGTCTACATCTGTCCGTCTGTCCATCTGTCTGTCCATAATGCTTTAGTTGCACTCTGATTTGCTGACAAACAGCCAATCACAGCACGAAGAAGGGTTCTGACAGAAGGCAGCCCCCCGTCATGATGGTGGGGACACAGGGGATGGAGTGGGGGGGCAAGACCAGCACTGGTAATGCAGGGGGGACGGGAGTGGGCCAAAGGTCAATGCAGGAAGGGGGCAAGCGGGCCTGGGTCCAACATGAGCGGGGGAGTGGGCCCACACCTAACACAGGCAGGGAGAGGAATAGGCCCAAGCGGGGTGAGAAGTTGGCCTGCTGTGGCAGGGGCAAGGGAAACAGCAGCTGGGGAAGGAAAGGACCAGGCCTCTTCCCTACCTTGGGCCCAGACCCACTCCTCCCCCACCCCCTCCCCTGTGTCAGCCCCGAACCTGCTTCTCCCATTCCCAAGTCAGCCCAACATGGGGTGGGGGGAAGAGGAGCAGGCGCTCTGTGGCGTCAGTGGTGATGGTGTGGCCAGGGGAGGACTGGGCTCGGGCCCAGTGCAGGGGGTTTCGAGAGAGCCCGAGCTGGGGAAAAGCCAGCCTACAATGGCAGTGGGGGAGGGCAGCAGGCAGAGACTGGCCAGGCCCGGCCCAGGCCAGTCCAGCCTAACATGGCAGCTGCGGAGGGAGGGGACAGAAGGAGCAAGCCTCCACCCCCATTCCCGGGCCCCCACATCGGCCCAGAGCCTGCTCGTCCTGTCTCCATGATGCCGCTGGGTATGCCCGGGTCAAGTCCTCCCCCTTAGCCCCCCCCACTGTGGCAACCCTGCTTCTCCCCACTCTCGGACCTGGTCCTCCTCTGCACCGGGCCCAGACTTGTTCCTTCTTTCACCTGCTGCTGTGGCGGGGAGGAGGGGAGGGGACCCAGACCCCAAGGAGGAGGAAGGAAGGGGGAGGGTCTCGGTGGGTAGCTGGGGCCTGGGGCTCCATCCTCACCCGCTCCCCACCCCACGGTCATTTTTGTTGCGCAATTGGCTAGTTAGAGGGATATGAGTCAACAGTGTGCCCTTGTTGCCAAGGAAGCCAATATCACACTGGGCAGCATTAGTAGGAATGTTGCTAACAGATAAAGGAAATGTGACGGGGGGCCTTCTCTGGGCCGATCTCCACAGCCTGCCCACCTGTCTCTGGGCAACCGCCTGCCTATCATGCCTGCCACGCCTTTGATGTTAATTGGTTCAATTAAGATGTCAATTAAGTGGGAGGCTGCCCATTTAGGGCCCCGATGCCAGGGGGCGCTCTCTGCGGCTCCTACCTCCCCAATACCGCAGCCCAAGCCTCGCAGATGTAATCACCATCTTTGAAGACCTCTACGCTCACCCTTGTGCCTCTCCTTAGTGCAGCCCCCTCTCTGGGCTCGCTGTGCCCTCCTTGGGCCTCGAGTTGCCCCCTTCCTAGGGCATTGTGCCCCCACTGGGCTTACTGCCCCCTCTCTGGGGCTTGCTGTACCCACACTGGGCTTCCTACGCCCACGCTAGGGCTTCCCAATAGTGCCGCCCCCTCTCTGGGCTTGCTACGCCCACGCTAGGGCTTCTCAATAGCGCCCCCTTCTCTGGGGCTTGCTACGCCCACACTAGGGGTTCTCAATAGTGCCCCCTTCACTGGGCTTGCTATGCCCATGCTGGGGCTTCTCAATAGCGCCCCCTTCTCTGGGGCTTGCTACGCCCACACTAGGGGTTCTCAATAGTGCCCCCTTCACTGGGCTTGCTATGCCCATGCTGGGGCTTCTCAATAGCGCCCCCTTCTCTGGGGCTTGCTACGTCCACGCTGGGTTCCCTAATAGTGCCGCCCCCCTCTCTGGGGCTGGGGTCTACACACCCCGCAAGTTGCGCCCATACTGGCACCGGGGTCCTCCCACTCCCTTGTGAGTCCCCGATGAGTACGCTGCACCCTCCTCCGGCGCTGGGGCCCCTCCTTCTCTGGGGTCCCTATGAGGCCTCCTCCAACCCCTATAGCCTCACCCAAACCACCAGTGTAACGCAGACGCTAAAGCAAACACAAGCCTCCTGGCTATAGCCAAAACAGAAGGCACTGGGCCCTACCAACATCATCATTGCCCCAGCCTCTGGAGTTCTCGCGAGCTATACTTGCAATCAGGGTTCTCTCTATATCCTGGCCGCGGGAGGTCTTGCCTCTCCGGCTGCTAGCAGGGAACTGCCGGCCTGGCCTCAGTCCCGGGCTTCATAAGGGCCTGGCCCTGCCCCCTACCGACAGCCAGCCCACCTTAGCCGCCCCAGCAACTCGCAGCTGTGCTCGTTATCCCTGGCAACCCACAGCTGCGCTTGTTATGTCCGGCTAAGGCTCTCTCTCTCTCCCTGGCAGTTTCTACTCCCTAGGAGCAGAGCACTGGGGTGCCCTGTGACAGGAAAGTAATTATTACCCTCTCTTCTGCATGGCGAGGCCAGATCTGGAGTACTGTGTCTAGTTTTGGGCCTCCCATCACTGAAAGGAGTTGGACAGGTTGGAAAAAGTCCAGCAGAAGGCAACAAAAATGATTCAGGGGTTCGGGCACATAATTTTTGATGAGTGGCTGAGGGAACGGGGCTTCTATAGTGTTCAGAAGAGAAGACTGGGGGGGGTGTTCATAGCAGCCTTCAACTCCCTGCGGGGGAGGGGGGGGTCCAAAGAGGATGGAGCTGTACTGTTCTCAGTGATGACAGATGACAGAACAAGGAGCAACTGTCTCAAGTTGCACCAAGGGAAGCTTAGATTGGATATTAGGAAAAACTCTCTCTCTAGGAAGGTGGTGAAGCACTGGTATGGGTTACCTAGAGAGAAGGTAGAATCTCCATCCTTGGAAGTTTTTAACACTCAGCTTGACAAAGCCCTGACTGGAAGGATCTGGTTGGGATGGTCCTGCTTTGAGCAAGGGGTTGGACTAGATGACTTCTAGAGGTCCCATCCAACCCTAATCTTCTGTGATTCTATCAAGCTCAAAGGGTCAATGGTTAAATGTCTAGTTGGCAATCAGTATCACATGGAGTGCCCAAGGGGTTGTTAGGCCCTTTTGTTTAATATCTTCATTGACAACATGGAAGATGAAGATATTATATTGCACCCTCAGCAAGTAGGCGGATAGTATTCGGCTGTGGGGATTAGTACTTACAGTGGAGGGTACAGCTTGGATTCAGAAGAACCTT